CCTCCACGGCCCTCCCCGCCCTGCCCCTGCAGCCCCTGGGACCCCAGGCAGGCCGTCCTCACCCGTGAAGAAGATGTAATCAAACTTGTGCTCCAGCAGCCGCCCGGTCTCCTGGGGCCCGCCCAGCACCACGGCAAAGCAGTTCTGCAGGACGGGGCGGGCGACTCAGGGGTGACCTCCGGACAGTGGGCTTCCTCCCTGGCGGGGCAGGGGTCCGGGGACGCCCGCGCTGCCGGGCCAGGGCTGGCCTCACCTGGTCCAGGTACCGGGGCAGCACCTCGGCCAGGACCTTCTCGGTCCCCTGGCTGATCTCCGACGGCTTCAGCACCACGCAGTTCCCTGTGGGGGCAGATGGGGACACGGTGGGGGGAGTCCGGGACCCCCACAAGGCAAGATCGTCTTGGCCGCCGCCACCAAGCACCTGACGCCCATCACCCTGGAGCTGGGGGCAAGAACCCAGGGCCCAGGCTTGAAAGGCACCCGAGGCCGGGGCGGCACGGCCGCAAGATTCCGGGGCCCTCCTTGGGAAGGGTGGCTGGGTGGGAGGGCGCGGGGCTTGGGACCCCTACCTGCGGCGAGCGCGCCCACCAGGGGCACCAGCGTCAGGTTCACCGGGTAGTTCCAGGGGGCCACGATGAGCACCAGGCCGTAGGGCTCCTTCCGGATGAAGGCGGAGTCCAGCTTTGTGATCTGGGTGCGGGGCGCACGGTGAGGCCCCGCCCAGGGCCACCCCAAACGCCAAGCCCACCCCGCACACCCGGGGCTTCCACGGCCCGCCCCTGGAGTCCTCGGGAGCGGAGGCCCACTGAGGAAGACAGTGACTGGACCACCCTGTCCCCCAACTCTGCCTGCCAACGGGCTCACCAGGTTGGTGGCCACCGGCTCGTCCTTCATCCAGGCGTGAAGGTTCCTGAGGGCCAGGTCCACTTCGTTCTGGCAAATGATGAGCTCGGATATGTCTGACTCGATGTCCGACTGCGATGGAAGGAGGATTGGGCCAATCAGGCCAGGCCAGGCCAGGCCGGGCGGGGCTCGATGCTGAAAAGGACCCTTCTCCGGACACGGGGCCCCTGGGAACGGCAGGCCGGCTGGGAGCTGGGCCTTGGAGCCGGGCTGTGTGGGCTAACCTGCCACTTCCCCGGGCCAGTGACCCCGCCCCTGAGTGCCTCAGTTTCCCTATTGGTAACGCGGGGACGGCCACAGAACCTGCCCCTTGGGGTGGCTGTACGAGTGTCTGTGAGTACACAGGACACAGCCAGTCACCTCGGGGGACCCAGACCCCCCCGACGGAGACCCCCGGCCTGGAGACCCCCAGCACACCTTGCGCAGGTCCTGGGCCAGCGCGTCCTGAAGAAGCTGCGTGTTGTCCTGGAGGAAAC